AGAGAGAGAGAGAGAGAAGAAGAAGAAGAAGAAGAAGAAGAAGAAGAAGAAGAAGAAGAAGAAGAAGAAGAAGAAAAGAAAAGAGAGGAGAGGAGAAGAGAGGAGAGAAGGAAGGAAGGAAGGGAGAAAGCATGCAAAGCTGGGTGTGATTACTACACGTACAATTTCAAAACTCAGAAAACAGAAGCCAGCCTGAACTACATAGAGAGTTCCAGGGACACCTTAGTTAGCAACATTTTTGTTTGTTTGTTCATCTGTTTGTTTTTGAGACAGGGTCTCTCTACACAGTCCTGGCTGTCCTGGAACTCATTGCAGGCCTTAAACTCACAGAGATCCACCTGCCTCTGCCTCTCAAGTGCTGGGATTTAAGGTGTGGGCCACTGTGCCTGGCCCAGTTAGCAACATTTTTAAAAAAGAAGAAAAATTACTAGAAGAGAGGGAGAAGAATGGGGAGGGAGGAAGAGGAGATGGATGTATTCTTTCTCTGCCCTAGTCTCCCTTTATCTCCAGCCCAACATGGCAGGGCATTCAGAATGGGTACTACCTCCCAGAAGCCTAAGAGACGCGAGTATGCCTGCAATTAGCCCACCTTAAAGGCAAAGGACCACTCATGAGAACAGAGACAGCAACATCCACAGACCCAGGTCATGCACCGAGCTGAGAATAAAAGTAACTATTTATGTAAAGACCCGCAGTTCTGAAGTGTGGGGGCGGGGCGAGGGTGAGGCCAACGGAATGGGCGAGAGCACCGGCCAGCAGGGGTTGGGGAAACTGGACAGAATGTCTGGCGCCTCCTCAGCCCAGTGGGTTCTTTCTGGCCTGAAGGCCAGCCTTCCTTCCTGAGCGGCTGTTTCCTGGCTCCGCCCTGTTGTCGCCACGGAAACCCATGAGTAGCCGGGCTCCCCAGCCAGGTTCCCATGGAGCCCCTGCAGTGCTGCTCAGAGGCCCATACATAGTAGGCGGCTACATTGGAGGACACAAGTTGGCCACGCAGCCACCCTGAACCAGAACACTCCAAAATGTTGCACAGCAGCCCCAGCCTTCTCTCATACAGCTCTCCTGACAGCTCTCATCTAGTGACCCTAAAAAGTGGACAATGCCTGTGATAACACCCTGAGCACCCACATGCCCACCACAGTATAATAACTGAAAACTCTGGAACATCCTTCAAAACATGTCTGATCCCTGGCCCACCCATGGAAGCCACTCTGTTGCATGTGGCTTACTCTCATATGTCCATAGCACTCTGGTCTGCCATTATCCATGGTGACCTTGCAGTAATAAGTTGCATTTGTTTCTCCATCCCTACTGTTTCCACCCAGTCCTGCTGACCAAAGGGCACAGAGTGGATGAGAGCCAAGCCATCTCTACACAACACCCTGACCACCATTCTTTTTGTTTGTTTACTTGTTGGCTTGCTTGCTTTTTTTTTTTTTTTTTTTTTTGAGACAAGGTTTCTCTATGTTGCCTTGGCTGTCCTGGAACACTCCGAGGACCAAACTGTCCTCAAAGTCACAGAGATCTGCCTGCCTATGTCTCCCGAGTGCTAGGGTTAAAGGTGTGTGCCAATACCACCTGGTGAGCATCATTCTTTATCTAAAACAGCTAACACTGATGCCCCTCCACTAGCCCAACAACCACTCATTCCAACACTCCCACTCCTACCATGCTCTGAGTGGGACTCTGGCTCCATATGATTGGGAACTGAACCTGTGAACTTTACGAAGAACCCAACATTTGAAACTACTTCTATCCACTCATACACAAAAGCTGAAGGATCTTTTAGGCTAGGGCCTAGCTCATCTAAACCAGACCTATCCCTGTCTGTCCTAAGGCATCAGACTCTGCCAAAGGCTCTGACTCCAGGAGAGAAGTAAAGGTTGGTCCTAGCTTCATATTCCCCCAGCTCCAGCCACCAGAGACTGGGAGGCCAGCAAGGTTTGGAGCCGAGAGTGGTATGTCAGAAGAAAGGTCTGAACTGGAAGGCTAGCTGCAAAAAAGACTCATCCACCTGGAGCTCTGTTGCCCTCAGACAGGGACCCCACCCCACCCTTTGGGAGTGGGAGGGCCCAAGCCCTACAGGACTATGTAATTGGTCCCAGCCTCACTGCTGTACAGCAGCCAGAGCTGTCTGGTGGGAGCCTGGGAGGTCTGTGCCCAGGCAGTGCTTGGGAGGTCTCACCACCCTCAGGCAGAGCAGAGCCAAGCCAATCCCCCACTATAGGCACCAAGGGGAACTACCCAGCATCCTTTTCAGGCCTCACGGAAGACTGGGGTCCAGAGAAGCTGAGGAAGGAGAG